TCAACGATTTGTAACGTCTGGTTGTTTTACTTTTGGTGTTTTATAGAAGGAGGGTGACAGCGGAATATGCCGTGGGTGATGCACACAAGGACACACATTGACACACGTATGGACACACACACATACGGACAGATCATGACACAGCAAAATCGAAAGAAGCCCCGTCTTGTGGGCAGGATCCGAGTGAAGGGATTTTTTGCATAAAAGAGGACCCTGCAGCATTGAAACCTCAGTTCGACCGGGGGGTCGACTCAGGAGCGAGCTGCGACCAGCGGATCGGCTCAACTCATCCGCAGTTCGTCTGGAACTCAGCCGAGTTCGGTCGGCTCACCGGAGCCGGCCATCGGGGCTCGACTCATCGGAGCGGCTCCCCATCTCATCTGCAGGCGGGCAAGACCCGCTTGACGGCTCAACTCGCCCCTGCGTGGCTCAGCCTCTGCCGACGCGGAGGTCTCTGCTGCCACCGGGGTGGTGAGGGTCGCTGTTTGGCGACGAGGCTACGCGCACACCGTGCATCGCCAGCGCGATTGCGCAACCTGGTCAACACTCAATACCGCACGCTGCGAGCGAGCTGTGGGCGCCATCTACCGCCCGAGTTCCGAACTGCAACAGCGTATCAACTAGGCATCCGAACCAGTTCACCACGGTGACCGACGAATCGACTGATACGTATGACGCGCACCGCCCCCTCACCACACGACAACCAGGCGTCTGTTTGACACAAAGAATCAACTCTGAATACTGACTATTCAAAACAATTCATATCACTCAAACATACACATGGGTCCTTCACCAGCAGTCACTACTCAAGTCCATAGGCCATCAGTGGCTGTGAAGGCACCGCGGCAGATCGAGTGAACACTCCGTCGCTTATAAGTATATTCGTAATATTTCCTCCTTAATATTTAGTGGGCTGTACTCTTAATCGCATAAATTCCCAACAGATCCATCAATACGAATTGATTCTTGACACCTTCTTCCGCAGAGCCACGCTCACGTGGGGAATGGTGTGTCCCACCAGATCCTTATCAGGCAATCTGGTCCACAGTTAATAAAACTTGGTATAAGATAAAGATCTTTGGAGAAAAAGAGCACACCATCGCAGGCCCTTACTCCAAGCCATTCTATAGTCAGATAATCTGCCGATGTATCTGTTGAGATTTGTGCCTTTAAGAATAATAACTGTTTTTGATTGTTTTTTTTAATATCGCCGTATAATCTTTCAAGTACCTTTCGTTCATAATCGCCACACGTATGCGCGTACTCCACAGAATACTCAACTGTTCCGTGACCCAATGTGCTAACAACGTGATAAGGGTTGCATATGATCAATAAGGAGTGCGGTACTGCGTGAACAATTCAAGTATAATCATTTATTATAAAGTTAAGGTTTTTGTTAGACTAGCTGGCAAGCATGTTTAAGGACTCTCTCTCTCACTAACAACAATCGCTTTATGCGGGATCCATGTGCTGTTGTCAAAGTGAAATCGTACAGTCATTGATGATACTGTGTTGATACCGTGTTGAAGTTCCGAGATTGAGAGTTCACATACTATATTATAGCTAAGGTTTAATTAGAAAATAAATTGATTAATACAGAAGTGGTCGTGTGATTCTTACCTGAAATTTTTGCATAAGATCTGTATCCTACGATGAGATATGAACTTGGGACCTAAAACATAAAAACACTAATCCACTCAATAAATGTCAAAGCGAGAATCATTGTATTATACTGATCGATAATACGAAGTTAGACGAAGCCAAGTTGACACTAGCATAACTGCATACGATTGATTGCATTATCCCGACTGATAACACCACCTCGTCAATGAGGCGGGGCCTGATTATCATAAAGGCTATCATTCACATAACCACACCCATTCGTATAAATTAATACGATTACCTCTCGAATTAGCATAATGTATATGCATAATTACACAAATTAACATAATTTCGGATTAATTATGCAACTCTCATCTAATTTAATTTTCATTATTTTTCATCAATTTTCACACACCCACATATACAACAGCAAGGTGTATCGTAATTGAAGGTGAATAACGTTAGCATTAATGTTATGTATGACACTATGTGTATTGTGTGGTTGGGCTTCGCTGTTAATTACTTGTCCGCTCAGCTTCACTGTCTGGAAGCTGCCAGGGGAATTCCTTTGATCTAACTCTCGTGTTAATTCCTGCTCTTTAGCGCTGCGGGAAGACAAAGGCGGCCGGGGTCTCTCTGGAACACAGTTCATCCTGGTTTCGTAAGCTTGACCCGTTTGCCTAATCTCTTCTGGACAACCCTTGATTTAACACTGCATCATTATTCTTATTCTTGGTTCTTTCGGTAAAGTCACGTTGAAGGGAAACAATAAAATAATAAAATATATTATTTATTGTTTTATATATATTTTATTATTTTATCGTTTCTCTTCAACGTGACTTTACCGAAAGAACCAAGAATATCAATCACTGCAGTCACGAAAGCTTTAAATCAAAATCATTATTCTTGTTTATGTTCCCCAATATTTGTGATTTAACATTGTATTAACTTTTGCTCCTCGCCTGTATACGAGGGTCCGGGCTATTATGTATGAGTTATCATTTATTTTATTTTATTCCTGATGTTCTGAGGTTAGAGAATTTGTTATGACTTAGGAATAACCCTGACTGCCAGAACTATTCTTGATGCTTCGGTCAGGTCGTGTAGAAAATTATTGAAGGTGAACATAACATTTAGTGTCGGATTAATAAATGGGTAATGATGCACTGATGTAGATTGTGGCCTGGTTTTGAATTTGAGTGAGTGTGAGGATTGATAAGGTTAGCTTATCCTTGGGTTGACTTGTGAACTTTTAACCGTTGTTTTAGTAGCAACGGAGGGGAAAATTGTTCAAACTCGCTTTTGCGCTGTAGGCATCACCCTGTCTGCGGGTCGACGGAAGGGGGTGGGGGGTCCCTGAAGCCTGGAATTCCCTTGGTGTTTCTCCCCCCCTGTCTCCTTCTGATCTGGTTTATTACCTTTTATGGTTCATCTCCTGGATGCCTGGTGTTCGAGAGGAGGCCCCCGGAATTTATTATTTATTTTTTCTGACCTTTTTACGACCTCCGTCTGCTGCGCTGGGATGAGGTAGTGGGTGTTTATTTATTTATTTCGGTTACTATTTAAAATATATCGGCAAATATTATTATTGATATTCATTGTGGAAAAAGGGCCGTATACAACAATGTATACTCTTTGGTTCTTTCGGTAAAGTCACGTAGGTAGATCACAACACAAGCAATCGTAATCAGGTGTGAAACAAACACAGCAGGAGGACGGCTGCAGTCCTCTTCCTGTGTGTGTTTCGTAATGCTGCGCAATTGAATCAATCATACAGAAAAGACAAAGACACACCCAATACACCTATACACACACAAATACAATGATCCTCCATATAGTCTTAACAGACTGCTGGGACAAATGCTTTTAGCGAGCACCTTTGAGGGCTGGCACAGCATAGGAGGGGGAGGGTAGCCAGCACCACGCACGCACCCCACCTTTGTCTCCCCAAATACAGCACCAAGTGCACACACACAACAACAACCGCCATTCGCCACTAAGTGGCGGTGACGTCACCACGACGCTTGTGCCAGGCTATGTGCACCCTCAGGCCTCAGGGTGCACACACACACACATATACACCCACTTCTCAACACACCCATATACACACACAGACGCAGCGGTGACGTGGTGTAGCAGTGGCGTGTTCGCTGCTTGTTGCAAGAGGTTCGTCATCGAATCCAGCGGCTGCCCTAAATAATATTGCGGGTGTATTCACCGTAAATATATGCTCCTTTTGTCAATTTCTTGGTCTGTATGTGTAATAAGAGTTCGCCACCTACAGGACGACTGGGGGGTTATTGCAGATCCGTGCTATGTTGTCTCACATCCAATCAGTAAGGGGGATCCCATCTGGGTGAAAGGTCAATGGGCGGAGCTAGCGGGAAGCCTCGAGAGCCCTCTAGAAGGTTCTGAAATGGGCGTGGCTAGAGGCGGTGCTTAGCCCTCGCTGAGAGGGATGAGCAGAAACAGCACAGGACTCTGGGTCGTCGGTGTGAAGAGCCCTGGGTCCCAACGTCTTCACCGCCTACGCTACCACCATCAGCCATGTGACAGGCTCCGCCAGCAGAGCCTTCTCTCTCTCCGACACGCCGTCAGCCAGTGGCGAGGCGGAAAGAGAGCGAGTGCCACGGCGGCATGAGGCAAGCGTGCACCGCGTCCCGAGAGCAAGAAAGAGACAGCTGCGAAGGAACGAGGGATACACGTGCTGTACTGCAACTTAAGAATAAATATACAGACGAAGTTTGAACCGTGTCGGAGACGTTTATTACATATGTAGTGTTGACAAAGGAGGCAGAGACTTCTTCATAGGCAACACTGTTTATTTACTCTAACGTCAGAGAACGTCCCTAACACAGAGAGGTAACGGCCTCTCCCACCCGATAGCCTAGAGGATACGTCCTCATACTTAGTGTGCCCTCACACTATAGTCTGCTTAACGGGTACCGCCAATGGGCCGTTCGGACCTGGCACTGACAAGGGCCGGAGGTCGGAAGTCCCAGGGCACTATCTCGATGTCTTGAGTCTTGAGGTGAGTGCGGACTGACTCATGCTGGGAGAGCTGCCCTGTATATCCTTGTCTCTCCCAACCGTCCTGTCTCGAGAGGGTCTGGGTCCAACCGTTGGCCCCTCCAGCCCCCTCCCTCAGTGGACTCTGGCCCCCTCACCCCTGGACAACGGTTATTGTAGTCGTGACTCATACAATACTGCTATGCAGGTAAGTATACATGTTGCGTGTAACAATGCCGCTACACATATGTAAGCATGTGGGTCTCTGTGTAAGTGTGTGTGACTATGGATCTCTATGTAAGTGTATGTGACTCTATGGGTCTCTATGTAAGTCTATGTGACTATGGGTGTATCTTGGAGGAGAGTGACAGGAGCAGGGGGGTTCTTACCGTAGGTAGCTGGAGACGAAGTCTACCAAGGTGGGGTCGTGGGTGGCGAGCGCCTCGTGGAGCGGGTAGCTCCCTGAGACTATTCTCTCATTCCGAGGTATCCCCGAGCCGTCTGTGGGAATGACGAGATGCAGGAGGAACACTGTCACAAACCACATCGGCCTCGCATAGCCGCCAGCGTAGAAACGCAAAAAAACGTAGCATGATGACTCGGCGCGGGGTTGGGATCTGCCAATACCACCCTGAGTTTTTACTGCGGTATGAATTTTTTCCGTTAAATATTTTGAGCCGTTTGATTTGCAATTGCCGGTTAAATATCCCCGTGACATTATTCCTAAGGAGTAGACCATTGTGTGCAAACGTCATGATCCGAATTAGAAAATTTACACTGCCAATGACTTAATTGGGATGAGACATGGCGATATTGACTCTGACTTGCAATTACTGCTGACTTCGTCTGTGATTTCCTGAACCTCCGATTAGCACTGTTGGCTTCATATGGTGGGAAAGAAATTCAACGTACATACATAGCCAGGCACTTTCGGAAGAACGCACATACTAAATACACTACATTTTTTAAATTAACTATTATGTTCAACCCTATAGGATCAATAGATGGGCTTTATTAACTTTAATTTAACTTCACAATTCATATTTTTACCATTTGAAACCTATAGCCCAAACAACCAATGTGAATCACAATGGTGCATTAGATATCATAAAGCATTGGTGGTGGGAAAGATCTAGGAATATTTTTTTCCGTCGGGCCAAGATCTGTTTGATATTGTGTCGTAATACCCTCCACCATCCAACGCAGCCAAACAAAACAAATGGTCATGACATGTTGTATAAGCGTTTGACGTCGACTTCGTGGATTTTGTTCTGATTTATGACCTCGTGTTCTGAATATGTTTGATGCAGTGTCGAGCGAAGCGCCATTATCTCGTTGGCAAATTTGGTTGTTGTGAGGATTTCTCTTCAACGTGTCCCAGTGGTTGAGCTGAAATGACCATAATTGGTGTGTCGTTCTGAAACGACCATAATTGGCGTGTTGTTTCAAAACTTGTGGATGTGGCCATTGAATTTGTTTTAGCTTTTTGGGTGGCGGATGGTCCTAAGGACACAAACATAACCAAATTTCACCCTCCCTTGCAACTCACCAAAGTATTGATCCTTGCAGGGAGCAGTATCCCACACAAACCGAGGAGGCACCCCCAGGAACTACACACGAGTCACACAAAGACAAAGGTCCCCCATAAAGCTTTAACAGATTTTTGCGGAAAGTGATATTAGCAATCACCACATTAAGGTAATCGTTTCAGGCTGTGCCAATCTAGGGGAGACCCAGGACTGGTTTAGATAATCGTAACTGACGTTGATAGTCAGTGGAAATGGAACTCGGGTCGTGCACTAACCACGACACTACCGTTCCCCATGGTTTAGGCAAGGCAGCGTTAATGGCACGATCCGGCCTTAGGCCATTCGCCACTTGTTTCAGTGCTTCTAATCCGACTGGATAATTCAAGGATTATTAACTGTAAAATACTCTGCACCGTCTACTTCATTCACAGCGCGGATTGGAGACCCCATGACGTCACTGGAAGATATTTAGCGATTGTGGTCCCGGTCATAGCCCAAATTTGCCAAGTTACTAGCAAATTAATAAACTGTAGTTACACAGCTGCAGCTGCAGCAATCATTGCTTTATACTGGCAAGCTGACGCTCGTTTGTAGGTCAGCTTCTGGGTCGTATTGTGCCACACAAGAACAGCTGTCAATGGGCGTGCCCAATCAGCTGCTTGACAAAAGATGTGGTGAAAGGCATTGCATGCAAAGTGCTCTGAGACGCTCAGAGTAAATGGTGCTCTCTGAAAACCCAATAAGTATCTAAAAAAACAACCACGAGTGATTGCAGCAATCCCTGGCCAACCGTGAATTCAGCAAGTGGGAAGTTTGAGTATATGGAGATTTTTTTCTGCATACCTGCTTACCAACAGCAGCCTTCGAAATTTGAGTATCCATGGGTAAGGTGTTAAGCAAGTCACATGACATATGTATTACCTCATTGCATCACCGCATGACATCATGGTATTGCGTAAAGCCATTAAGGACGTACTACGTATCGATAAGGTTTTTGTTATTCATATTTTCTTCTGATTCCGGGAAAGGGTTTCTTTTGCCCTTAATCATAGTGAGTGGTGAAGTTGAGAGAGAGTTGCGTCTGTGGCTTTGAGGAAGAGGGAGGTTGAGCCTCTGCCCCTCCTCCTTCTAACGAGCCCTTCCCCCATCATCTTATTGTCATCGTCGTCAATATTAAAGGCATGTAAAGTTAATTTCATGTTTATTTATGTTTTATTATGGTATTGTGTCATGTACTGTATTTTATTCGGTGTTTAGTTAGTAAGCAGGTAGTTTAGTTAAGCTATGATGCGTCTGACCGTGGCCGTGGTTCTTCTAACCACTTATTTCCCATAGCCCCTGGACTTTACCAACCGTGGTTTTGCCGACCGTGGCATTTTACAGGAACCTAACCCCCCTGGGTTGGCGAGGGATTGCTGTATTTAGCAAGTAGATTGGCACAGCCAATATGATACATTGGTTTGATTCTCATTCGTTGTTCCTATGGGGTCATGACAGCTGTTTACGAATCTGGGCAACGTGACAGGGTCATTCTGACTTCCTGCAACTTGTCTTGCAGATGCTTGACACCGTTTAAAGCGATGCATCTTTTTATATATAAAACTCTCTACGCGCAATTGCGAGGGATTTGGTTCCCGAATGGTGGGCTTTACGTCGAAACCAATTTGCCAGCCGGCACGCCCTAAAGCCCCGCGGTGGGAATAGGCTATTCCTTTTTCATGCCCGTCACCTTTCAATTAGTTAAATTAGCGTTTTTTAGTGGGATTCCGATATATTTATTTATTGCGTGCCATCGGCCGTACCAACTCATGCCAATTGCGGCGGGGGGGGCGGACCCTTCCAAGTGATGCGCGTTCGGTCGAGCTCACGGGGGACATTTTCTTTTACGCGTCTAACATGCAATAAATATACACAGTGTGATGTCCTCTTCGCCCCCCCCCTCTCACCAACACGATGCTTGCAGTTACTGCTAGAAAGCCCGTACATATTCATATTATTACAGCACTTACATAGCATTATTGTAGTATTATTGATTACTATTATTAAACAAATACGTTGCCAGATATTACAATAATCATGTTTGTGTGCACAAAACTAATTTTTCATTATTAGGTTGCTAAATATTCCGTTTTTTTACTATGCTTTTATGACGCTGCGACGGTCTATTGCCAGTCTGTGATGTGGCCTGCTGCCTGCTGATTAATTAACGTCAGTGCACTGCCACTCTATTATCTACACTGCTAATTTTACTTTTTACCATTATGAGTGTATGCCAGTCTATACTCTGTTGCCTGCTTCTTTACCTCACTCGGTGTACTGCCAGCCTTTCATGTCGACTGTATTCTGCTTTTTCAACTGCTGCCCGTATTGCCAGCTTTTTATGTCGACTATGCCAATGCTTATTTCATTGAGTCGGCGTACTGGCAGTATATAATCTAAACTGTAGCCTGCTTCTCAACTTACCTGTGCGTACTGCTGCTCTTTAATTTACACTTATTTCTGCTTATTTCTTCAATGCATTTCTATTGTTTCGAATGCTCACGTCACGCTATTTACTGATACGTAGTACTGCGATACTGATAGCTGTGCCATCATCGGGGATTGCTGTGCACGTCAATGTGTGTGTGTGTGAGTCGATGTGTGTGTGTTTAAGTCCATGTGTGTCTGTCTTTTTTGAACGGACAACGCCCGATGAGTGTGTACGTCGAAGTGTTTGTGTGTGTGTCAGTCCAAGTGTGCATGTCAGTCCATTTGTGTCCGTATCAGTCGCTGTGTGTGTGTTAGTCCATGTGTGTGTGTTAGTCAATGTGTGCATGGCTCCATCTGAGTGTGTAAGTCAATGTGCGTTTGTGTGTCTATATGTGTCAGTCGATGTGTGTGTGTGTGTGTCGATGTGTATGTGTGTGTCAGTCCATATGTGTGTGTGTTAGTCCACAAGTGTAAGTCCATACATGTGTGTGTGTCGCTCGATGTTTGTGTGTGTAACTCAATGCATGTATGTGAGTCGATATGTGTGTTAATCCATGTGTGTGTATCTAAAGTGGATGTCTATGCGTGTGTAAGTCCATGTGTTTGTGTGTGTGAGTCGATATGTCTGTGTGTGTCAGTCCATGGGCGTGTGTTAGTCGCTTTGTGTGCGTGGCTCCAAGTGAGTCAGTGTAAGTCCATTTCTTTGCGTGTCTGTAGGTCCATGTGTGCGTGTCAGTGAATGTGTGTGCTTTATTGACCTGGTCAAGGCCTATGATACCATCAGCATTCCTGGCCTCTGGGTTGTTCTTCATGCTTTCAGAGTCCCTCACCCTTTGCTCACGATCCTTAAGGACCTTCATGATCTTCTTGGTTCTTTCGGTAAAGTCACGTAGAAATGAAATAAAATAATAAAAATAAAACATAATAAAATACAATTTATCACGACGTTTCGGCCACAACACAAGTAGCCTTCCTCAGGTGAAGAGACAGAACTGTCGGGAAGACAGCGCTTCAGTGAACACAGCCAAGCTTTGGCCGCGTCTTTTAAGCTGGGGGGGAGGAGCACAGTGCCTTGACCAAGGAGTTTACATATTCACAGAAGCATTTAGCATTGAAGTAACTATGTTAATGTGTTGGATTAGCATGACGTTAAAGTCAGAAATTAGCATGTAACTGGGGGATTAGCATGATGTTAGTGTGAGGGATTAGCATGTAACTATGTCGGAACTATGTCGGAAAAAATGGCGGTTTCTTTTTTCTTTTCAACGTTAGCACCACTGTGGTTAGCACCACGGAAAGCGACGAGCTTTGTTCAGATGGACGAGTCCATCTATGCTCGGAACGGAGGAGGGGGGAGAGAAGAAACAGCAATCATGCGCTGCTCTGTCCTGTGTTGCGTTACTACTATGCTACAAACTAGACTACTATACATTACAATATTATACCTTCCAATCTAAACTACATTGTATAATATCGTATACACAGCCCTAACGTTGAAAAGAACAAAGAAACCGCCACTTTTTCCAACATAGTTCGGACAGTTACATGCTAATCCTCACACTAACATCATGCTAATCCCCCAGTTACATGCTAATTTCTGACTTTAACATCATGCTAATCCAACACATTAACATAGCTACTTCAATGCTAAATTCTTCTGTTGATATGTAAACTCCTTGGTCAAGGCGCTCTGCTCCTCCCACCCGGCTTAAAAGATGCGGCCAAAGCTTGGCTGTGTTCACTGAAGCGCTGTCTTCCCAACAGTTCTGTCTCTTCACCTGAGGAAGGCTACTTGTGTTGTGGCCGAAACGTCGTGAGAATGTTTTATTTTATTATGTTTTATTTTCATTATTTTATTTCAATTCTATGTGACTTTACCGAAAGAACCAAGAATATGAATCCCTGCAGTCACGAAAGCTTTAAATCGAGACCTTCATGATGGTGAGCGGCCCCATGTCAAACTACATGGCCGTCAGTCAGAGCCATTCCCTCTACACCTTGGGGTGGGACAGGGATGTCCTTTGGCTCCCACATTATTTAACATATCTTTTGACCACGTAGTTCGTGATTGCCTTCAATGGCTGTACCGGAGGAATTGCCATATGGTAGAGATACAATGGGAGGCTGATCGATGCCCGGGTGCGGTCAAGGGATGGCTCCCTATTATTGCGCCCCCCCCCCCCACCAAAATACAAAAGTCTATTTTTATACTTTTTGCATTGTGTACAGTCTGGAAGCTACCCACATGCCAAATTTCAAGTTTGTTGCATGTTGGGAAGTATGCTAAGCATTTTGAACAGACACACATTCACAAATTTCTCTTTTATATATATAGACTAGCTTTACTACCCGGCTTCGCCCGGGACTTGGATTCACCATGCCCGGCCGCCTTTGTCTCCCCAGTGGCGATGTTCACACACACCAGTTACTCGTTTGAGGCTGAGTCGGCCTAGGGGAGGCCCAGGACCGGTTCAAAAAATCGTCACCGGTGGTGGTCGTGAGCGGGAATCAAACTCGGGTCGCCGGGTTCGTAGCGCAGCATGCTAATCACTACACTACCGCTCCCCCCACACACAGACGGCATGCTAATCACTACACTACCACTCCCCCCACACACAGACAGCAGGCTAACCAATACACTACCGCTCCCCCCACACGCGCGCGCGCCCATAGGTACACATACACGCGCTTGCTGCAGACACACACATCTTTAAGGGTGCGTACGGCAGTAAACGACTGAAACAATAAAGTAATGCTGCGCAAAGAACGCCTTAGACCTGCAACACATTTGTATTTCACTTTACCCGCGATCAGCAGGCACACTCCGTTACGCTTCCGCACACCGGTAAGGGTCACATGACAGATGTGACGTCATAACTCACTTGCCGTGCAAAAAATATTTGCATTATTGAGCACACCCCCCCCCCCCCCCAAAAAAAAAATATACTAAAGTGTATTTTTATAATCTTTGCATGGTGTGCAGTCTGGAAAGTACCCACATGCCAAATTTAAAGTTTGTTGCATGTCGGGAAGTACGCTAAACATTTTGAACAGACACACATAATCACAAATTTCCATTTTTTATATATAGAGATAGATAATTTTGTACTAAACTTAAAATTAGTCAGAATTAAATATCTTTGCTGGTGACATTGTCATGTTTGTATCAGATAAATCTCCAAAGTCAAACAGAATCTCCAACATTGACTTGATTCAACATCAATTGTCATCACTAAAATTTATCCTAAATCCCCAAAGAACTAACATGTTACGTAGGTGAAAATAAAATAACACCTACGTGACTTTACCCAATAGAACCAAAGAGTATGGATCCTAGCAGTCACAAAAGCTTTAAATCTAGAATTAACTAACATGTTATTTTCATCAAACAAGAGTCTAGTTTAATTCGCTTAACTTATTACGGATATCAGAAAAAAAACATGATTGAACAGAGTGCTCCAAATATTCGGTTTTATTGATTCAAAACTTACATTACAACCCCATATTGAAACTTGATTTCAAGCTTTCGTGAGTGCAGGAATTACTCTTTGGTTCTTTCGGTAAAGTCACGTAGAAAGAAAAGAAAATAAATTAAATAATAGCATACGACGTTTCGATTGCAACACAAGCAATCATCATCAGGTACAAATGAAAGAGAAAACAAACCTAGTAAACTTAGAAATATAATGCAATACAACACAGAGAGTCGGCTAACAAAACAGTCAACACCCTACTTGGCTGATTACGTTCTTTTAAAAATTGATAAATTTGAGAGAGAGAGAAAACACAGACACGGAGACGCATAGACACAAAAGCAGAGAGAAATAACACAGACACACAGAGAGACACACACACAGGCACACAGAGAAACAATGTCTCTGTGTCGAGGCCTTAAATAGAGAGAGAGAGGGGGGCAGAGAGAGAGGGTGGTAGATAAATTAGCATGTCAATGAGAGATTTGGAGCTTTCGTGACTGCAGGAAATACTACAACACGAGGACACACCAAGAGAGAACAACACACTTAAAACAAACTTAGTAACATTTGGAAATGTAATGCAATGCAACACAGAGAGTCGGTCAACACACAATTAACGTATAGCCTGGTTGATTACGTTCTTTCAAAGACTGCTACATTTGAAGTTAAGTGGAAATTTGAGAGAGACAAGACACAGACACGGAGACACAAAGACAGACACACAAGCAGAGAGAGACGACACAGAGACACAGAGAGAGAGAAAACAAACTTCAAACCTCCCCGTAGAGGTGGTTAAAACTTGATTTGGAGCTTTCGTGACTGCACGAATTACTCTTTGGTTCTTTGGGTAAAGTCACGTAGAAAGAAAATTAATTCCCATAACCCAAGGCCCCCACTTGGCGTTTTAAAGATTAAATGGCTATCAATAGGAATTGTGGGTGATGGCTCTTCCACAAACCCACACATTTTGTGGGTCATGAAGGATTTGTAAAAACAGATTCTGTTTAAATACTAGAATCTGTCACAAAAAAATGTAAGTGACTTATTTTCTAAATTCTTCCAATTTGTTCTAAACTTCTGCACAGTGCAGCTATCGATTTCTTTCAACAATAAATGATAAAAAAAAATATGACATGAATTATTCTCTGGATTCAGCTCATCAAAGCCTGGACAAATTATTTTCAATGTCATACAACGATACAGGCCCATGGCACAGGACACGCTGTGAATAGCGGCAGTGAGGGCTCACCTTGACGAATGCCTCAAACACGTCCAGCATGGCCACGCGATGACCCCCTTACAACGCAAACTGACGCCGCTGACGAGCCTGCAAACGCACAATGGGAGCATTGTGGCAGGGTTGGTGGATCGAACGGAGAGAATCTTGTTTCGGTGTGTGGAGTAGGTTGCTGACCTATAAGTAGAGTGTGATTGTGTCATCCTCACAGGTGGGCTTTCTCTGGGCAATCTGGTTCCTACCACATGCACATGAATAAGCATTAATGAACTGGACGCAAAAGTGAAGAAAAATCCTCAACAACCCTTCGTTATCATCACCTATCATCATCAACACCCATCATAATCACCACAACACACCACCACCCACCCATAACCACCACTTCTCATCATCACCACGATCACCACCAAAACCCACCCATCATCACTCTCACTAACTCACTCTCTCTCATGCACTCTGCCACACTCACGCCCTGTCACGCACTGTCACACACTCACTCTCACGCATTCTGTCACACTATCAAGCACTCTGTCAAACTCTCACTAATCCTTAACATAGAGTGTGTTCACATTCAGTTCAGGTTATCGCTGTGAATTTTTCACAATTGTCTCGACCGTGGTGTTCACATAGTCTGGCACACGGATTTACCACACATAATACTGAAAATGAAAATAACACGTATGACATCATCGCATGTGTTCTGGCATGTATGCTGTGTAGCTCTTCCAAGTGTTTTCGGATTGTACCTCGTGTAGATAGAAACAAAAGTAAGTTCCTGAAGAAGCTCCCAGAATTTTTTTTATTTAAAGCTTTCGTGACTGCAGTAATTCATATTCTTAGTTCTTTCGGTAAAGTCACGTTGAAGGGAAACAATAAAATAATAAAATATATATACAACAATAAAAATTCTCACGACGTTTCGACCATAACACAAACGGTCGTCATCAGGTGTGTCGGTTTGCATAAATGTATTTATTTTTAAACGGTGTATTTATTTATTTATAAAAACGTTAGCGCCACGCGCAGCGATTTGGCAGTTTATTTAGAAGGACTAGTCCATCTATGTTCTGAAAAGAGGAGGGGGGAGACAAAAAATGTAATGTATGCTGTCTGAAAGCCACTGTAAGCGTGACCAATCAATTAAGACCTGAAATGGTTTATCAAATCTTTCCAATGATTGCTAAGCCAGAATCCATCTTCTCGGTTGAAATTGTCTCTGTGCTTGTATATGTGGATAGCCTCATGAACGAATCTCTCATGGTAGCCAGATGGCTTACAATGAACCTCTGTCTTGGAAAAGTCAATGTGATGTGAGCCTACTGAATTATAACAATGATCTGCGACGGCCGAGGTGTTGGTCCTACCGTGTTTAAGGTCTGCTTTGTGTTCACGAATGCGGTCCGAGACATGGCGTTTGGTTTCTCCAATGTAACTACTACCACAGAGGCAACTTAGTTTGTAGACACCAGGGTATTGTATGTCCGGAATCACATCTTTTACAGACGGAACCAGATCACGGATTTTATGTAATGTGTTGAAACGGACCTGGATCTTGTGTTTATTCAAGATTTTGGAGATCTTTTTGTGATCCCCGCAATGTAGGGTAAAGTGATGGTTTTGAAAGGCTCCTAAAGAGGGTCCTTCTTCATGGTTTGAGTGATAGCTTTGCGGATTGTATAGTCGGAGTAACCATTAGCCTTAAGAGCTTGGTGTACGTGCTTGAGTTCACTGCCTATGTGTTCCTGGTCGGATATGCATTGGGCTCTATGATGCAGAGTCTTGATGAGAGAATTCTTCTGTGATGGATGGTGGTGGGAATCCGGTTTCAGATAAGCATCCGTATGGGTAGCTTTCCTGTAGACAGAGTGGCTCATTGAACCATCAGGTCTCTTTTTAATTAGGACATCCAAAAAAGGTAGCTTGCCATCTTTTTCGACTTCCATGGTAAATCTGATGGCTGGGTGTATGGAATTGATGTGGTCGAAGAATTGGTCTAGAGCAGGCCGGCCATGTGGCCAGATGACAAAAGTGTCATCCACGTACCTCTTCCATAAGGTTGGGCGCAGAGTGGCAGTCTGGATGGCGTCAGTCTCAAATTTCTCCATGAAAATGTTAGTTATAACCCGAGATAGGGGGGAGCCCATTGGGGTGCCCTCAGTTTTTTTGTAGAAAGTTCCATTCCAAGTGAAGTATGTATTGGTTAAACAGTGTCTCACCAGGGGGGGTACCTCAGTGTTTAGTCCTTGATGAACCAAGTCTTCAATGATTGCGATGGTGTCAGGTACAGGAACCTTGGTGAATAAGGAAACTACATCAAAACTGACAAGCATGTCGTCTGGGGACAGGGAATACCCTTGATTGTCGATACCAGATGAGTAGAATTTTGTACCGCAGAGGTGGTTTTTCCAGTGAAAGGACGCAGGATTTCAGACAAAAAACGAGCCAGTTTGTAGGTGGGGGAGTTGATAGTAGGGACGAAGGGGTGTATCTACTTTATGTATTTTTGGTAAGCCGTATAATCTTGGTGGCCTGGCAGCAGAAGGTTTCAACGAAAACTGTTTAGATTGATCAATTAATGCGGTTGAATCAGAAATTATTTTGTTGGTTTGTGTGACGAGGCTGTTGGTGGGTTCTCTTTTTATTTTTGTATAACTACCATCGTCGAGTAATTCTTTAATTTTGTTGTTGTATTCTATTTTATCCATGATGACAGTAGCATTGCCCTTGTCAGCTGAGAGGACTACAATATCATCCCTTTTTTTAAATTTATACAATTCAAAACGCTCATCTTTGCAGAGGTTGCTAGCTGGCATCTTAGCGTTTTTGAGGGTTGCAGCGATTTCAGATCTTGCTACGTCTGCAGCGATGTGACCCAGGCCCCTGAGAGCAACCTCTACTTGGGCAATTATATCATTAACTGGTATGTGCTTAGGTGTAACTGCAAAGTTTAGACCTTTAGCTAAAACGGATTTCAAACCATCAGAAATAGAACTGTTACTGCGTTTAATTACGACTTTATTAACGTCTAACTTTTTGGTGTGTGGGTCCGGTCTTTTGTTGAAGAGAAGGTTAAATTTGTAAATCAGGTTGTCCTTACATTTGGTCGACATAGTAGCAGCTGAAGAGGCAGTCATATTGTCTACATGTTCCCAATCCGATGTGGACATTGTTGCCATCAATGAAAAGTGTGATTTGTAGAGTGTCTTGTCTAACTGATCTAGTTCGGTGCGTATAAGTATGATTTTTTCTGAGATAAGAGCTAAGCTAGTTTTGAAAAGAATTCGTTTCGCATTATAAGAAGTTACAGCAGCAGAGGTCAGTGTAAATGCGATTGGTATTACCCCAGAGTCGCGGCATCTCTTCAGAAAGGTGAGAGACTCGATCAGCTGAGCCTTCTTATCCCGGAGTTTGTTGAAGGATCTTAAAGTTATGTGAAAACCCTCCCCGTAGAGGCGGTTAAATTTTGATTGAAAGCTTTCGAGACTGCAGTAATTCATATTCTTAGTTCTTTCGGTAAAGTCACGTTGAAGGGAAACAATAAAATATATATAAAACAATACAAATTCTCACGACGTTTCAACCATAATACAAACGGTCGTCATCAGGTGTGTCGGTTTGCATAAATGTATTAATTTTTAAACGGTGTATTTATTTATTTAAAAACGTTAGCGCCACGCGCAGCGATTTGGCACTTTATTTAGAAGGACTAGTCCATCTCTGTTCTGAAAAGAGGAGGGGGGAGACGAAAACTTTAATGTATGCTGTCTGAAAGCCACTGTAAGCGTGAACAATCAATTAAGACCTGAAATGGTTTATCAAATCTTTCCAATGATTGCTAAGCCAGAATCCATCTTCTCGGTTGAAATTGTCTCTGTGCTTGTATATGTGGATAGCCTCATGAACGAATCTCTCATGGTAGCCAGATGGCTTATAAAGAACCTCTGTCTTGGAAAAGTCAATGTCATGTGAGCCTACTGAATTATAACAATGATCTGCCACGGCCGAGGTGTTGGTCCTACCGTGTTTAAGGTCTGCTTTGTGTTCACGAATGCGGTCCGAGACATGGCGTTTGGTTTCTCCAATGTAACTACTACCACAGAGGCAACTTAGTTTGTAGACACCAGGGTATTGTATGTCCAGAATCACATACAATACCCTGGTGTCTACAAAATAAGTTGCCTCTGTGGTAGTAGTTACATTGGAGAAACCAAACGCCATGTCTCGGACCGCATTCGTGAACACAAAGCAGACCTTAAACACGGTAGGACCAACACCTCGGCCATGGCAAATCATTGTTATAATTCAGTAGGCTCACATGACATTGACTTTTCCAAGACAGAGGTTCATTCTAAGCCATCTGGCTACCATGAGAGATTCGTTCATGAGGCTATCCACATATACAAGCACAGAGACAATTTCAACCGAGAAGGTGGATTCTGGCTTAGCAATCATTGGAAAGATTTGATAAACCATTTCAGGTCTTAATTGATTGTTCACGCTTACAGTGGCTTTCAGACAGCATACATTACATTTTTCGTCCCCCCTCCTCTTTTCAGAACATAGATGGACTAGTCCTTCTAAATAAACTGCCAAATCGCTGCGCGTGGCGCTAACGTTTATTTTCTAAATAAATAAATACACCGTTTAAAAATAAATACATTTATGCAAACCGACACACCTGATGACGACCGTTTGTGTTATGGTCGAAACGTCGTGAGAATTTTTATTGTTATATATATTTTTATTTTATTTTATTGTTACCCTTCAACGTGACTTTACCGAAAGAACTAAGAATATGAATAAGCTCCCAGTAGGTGGAGATAAACGTCGGACATCGTGTCGAGCAAACCCGTGGTTCATCTCGAAATCACATTGGAGAGCTATTTAAGACTTTTTTTACCTGGAAACATTAGTCTCACGCCTCTTTGTCGTTAGTGGACCAGCTGGGGTCATTTGATGAATTCCATGATCTAAAACACATTCCTTCGGAGGGAACTGGTAGGAACGTTGGGTTGCTCAGCCAATGGCCAGGGTCAACGGCGGCGTGGTGTATTCCGCAAATATGCCCGACTGTGAGGGCGGGCACAAGC